ACTTGTAACACAATCCAGTCTTTGGTCCAATAAGACTGACAGAAATAAAAGATCCATAGGAGAAGGCAGCGTTAGAGACTCCCTACCTACGACTGTGACAGTAAAATGCCCGGTGGGTGCGACAATTACAGCCCACATACCAATGGCAACAATCTTTCCATTATCCTTTCGACCTGACTTCACACTCTACCTGTGTTACACACCGTCAACATGTAAATATGAGAGACATGGAAAAAGCTTTAGAGCATCGGTGGACTGCACCTGTGATGCTTGGGAGTATGTTATATCCAATACAGGTCCTGATTGGGGTTATAATAATGAACACAGATTGAAGGGACGAGTGATTCTGACTACAGACCACTCACAAACAACGGTGCTAGTCACTGTGAAAAATTGTGGGATTGATGTGAATGGGACTTACGTTATTGGACATTATCCAGGAGACATTAGACAATGGATTTCAATTGCCCTACCCGAGGACAAGGAGCTAGACAAGGAGGCCATAGATAGTGAAGTATGGCAAGACAAACAAAACGTACAGGTGACTGCTGACTGGACTGTTTCTGAATTGTTAAAACAAGCAACTGGATATGGGGATAGAAACGCTTGGTTGTGGACAGTGGAGCACATGTCAGCGGCTGCTGGCTTTGACGATTGTGTTGTGTGTTCCACTGCACGTCCCACTTTGTATACAGCCCCTGCTCCACTTTTCCCAGAAGATGTAGATGGTTATAATTGTATGATAAAGTTGTTTTGGCAAGAAAAGGACCTGACTGAGGAGACAAAGACAGTCCCTAGCAACTGTTCAATGTTTGAAGTATTGTTTCCAGAATTGGATTCAGAAATTCAGCCCCCTATGTTTTCCCACAGGAAAAGCAATTACACCTGTTTCCACTCACTCAATGGAGGCGTGGCTGGACAGCATCTTGGGGAAGTGGAAGCATGTAATTTTGTCTGTTATCACAAGCCTTGCGGCCATCTTTGCAATAATAATGGTTGTAGGATGCTGCTGTATACCTTGTATACGTTCTCTTTGTGTTAAAGCTATAGACACCGCTGTTAACCCTGGACTGAGAGGTCAAATGCTTGCATTGGTTGAGGATTGCCCCGTCCCGTCGCCTGAGGAAGGTTATTGAAATGTGTGGCCTTTTTTAATAGCGGCCAAAAGAGGGGACTGTTGTATTAAATATAGGCTAAAAGGCGATGTGAATTAGATTGACCTGAAATTGAACTCTGTCTGTCTCCAAGCAAAAAGAAAGACCTTGTATTGCCCAACTCCCCTTGTCCCATTTTGTCCAAAGTGCATGGGTGAGTTAATGATAGTTAATCTGGGGGGATTCTGCTAATCCTTTCAAGTTGTGAAAGAAGGAGATGGAGTCCAGAATCTGGAGGAGAAGCCTTGAGATCCCTCTGCCTTATCTCAAAGGAACTAATAAATCGATAGAATTAGGGAGGGGTAGTGCGTGAATGATTTCTGTTTAGGTCTGGCGAGACGGAGAAGACCTGATGGAGGCCGGACCCTGGACCAAGAGCTGACTGATACGACACGCCCCCTTCTTCTTCATGCACATTTACTTATAATAACCTCATGCTTGTGTTAGTCTAGACCGGACCAGGGACAGGAGTGTGATTTGCGTGGAGCGCCCACCAAAATCATACTTTTATATTTTATATAGAGAATAAGGGATAGTTACTTTTGGTCCGAACAGCTGTTTTAGATTCTTTTTGTATTAGGGAAATAAACCTTTTTGAATTTAACTTCCTGAATCATGGTCATCTTTATAAGGGATTTTGAACACGTCATTTTTTAATATAATAATGTGCAAATCAATCTACAGTTCAAAGTAATAGAGAGTATGACAACTGTGGTCGACAATCTATTGGAATGTATAACAATTGAATTATGTAAAGAAAAAGAAAAGAATGTGATTATTAGCTGCATATATAGGGCACCAGGTACAGATATTGACAGGTTCAGAGGATGGATGGAGGACATGTTTTTGAAAACTAACAACAAAGTGGTATACATATGTGGTGATTTTAACATTAATATCTTAAATCCTAATAAGCATAAAGCAACGGATGAATTCATTAACACAATGTACAGTCTGAGTTTGTTTCCAAGAATCACAAGACCCACCAGAATTACATCAAATTGTGCCACTCTGATAGACAACATATACAGTAATGACATTGAAAACAAAACATCAAGTGGCATTCTGATTAATGACATCAGTGATCATCTGCCAGTCTTCATTGTCTATGATCATAACTACAGGAAAAAAGTAACAGATAAGAAAACACAATATAGGCGGTTAAGGACAGAGAAGTCGGTAAACACACTCAAGAATGAATTACTGGCACACAACTGGGAGACAGTCTATCAGGAAAACAATGTGGACAATGCATATGATTTATTTTTGAATGTTTTTACACAATTGTATTTTAAAAACTGTCCAAATAAGGAATATACAAAAAAACTAAAATACAGCAACTGTCCATGGTTAACAAAAGGGTTACAAAACGCTTGCAAAAAGAAGAATACGTTGTACAGAGAGTTCATAAGAATAAAGACCACTGAGGCTGAAAATAGATATAAAATATATAAAAATAAGTTAACACACATTATACGAATGAACAAGAAAGACTATTTCAGGAAAAGATTAGATGACAACATAAACAATATGAAAGGAGTGTGGGATATATTAAACAGTATTATAAGAAGTGGCTCGAAGCGAAATGAGTATCCTGATTACTTTATTGATAAAGACAATATATTTGAAAACACGAGTGATGTGGCGGATAAATTTAATACATTTTTTGTGAATGTGGGGCCTGACCTGTCAAAAAACATACCTGATCCTGGGGCAGCTGGTAAAAACATGGATGCGTTAATAGAAAGAAATCCCCACTCAATGTTTCTTAATAAAGTGGAAGAAAAGGAAATACTTGACATTGTTAAAAAGTGTCACAACAAGAAATCCACTGACTATAATGACATTGACATGACTCTGGTGAAAGATGTGATTGAGGGAATTCTGAAGCCGCTAACGCACATCTGTAACTTGTCATTTCACACTGGTGTCTTTCCAAACAGCATGAAAATAGCCAAGGTTATCCCATTGTACAAAGGCGGGAACAAACATCACTTCAACAACTACAGACCTGTCTCCTTACTCCCACAATTTTCCAAAATATTAGAAAAACTTTTTTGTAATAGACTGGATACATTCATCACAAAACATAAAATGCTTTCTGACAGCCAGTATGGGTTTAGGTCGGAAAGATCAACAGCACTAGCGATAACTGAAGCTATTGAAGATATAACAAATGCTCTTGAAAAAAAACAATATGCTGTTGGAATATTTATTGATATTAAAAAAGCTTTTGATACAATCAACCATGATTTGTTGATAAAAAAACTAGGAAGATATGGTGTCAGAGGCATTGTGTTGAACTGGGTCACAAGTTATTTAAAGAACAGGCAGCAGTTTGTGAAGATGGGTGATGTTTGTTCAGCATGGTTGGACATTTCCTGTGGCGTCCCCCAGGGGTCAGTAGTGGGTCCTAAATTGTTTATTTTGTATATTAATGATGTTTGTGTTGTCTCACAGAAACTGAAGCTGGTGTTGTTTGCTGATGACACTAATATTTTTTGTTCTGGGGACAATTTAAAAGAGCTTCTTAAAGAGGTTACTCATGAAATGAACAAAGTGAAATTATGGTTTGACAGGAATAAATTATCACTTAATCTTAACAAAACAAAAATTATGTTATTTGGGAACAACCGATCTGAAGAGAAATTACAACTAAGGTTAGATGGGGTGCAAATAGAAAGGGTTAATGAAAACAAGTTCCTGGGGATTATAATAGATGATCAAATCACCTGGAAACCACACATCAAATATATACAGACTAAACTGTCAAGAAGCATTGCAATATTAAATAGAGCAAAACCGGTACTAGACGCTAAGTCACTTCGCAACATATACTGTACTATTGTCTTACCATATTTCAGTTACTGTTCAGAGATTTGGGGAAATAATTATACGAGTTCATTAAAACCATTACTTATTCTACAAAAAAGGGCAATTCGGATAATACATAACGCAGGCTATTTGGATCACACTCACTCACTTTTCTTGCAGTCAAAACTATTAAAACTCACAGACATAGTTGAATTTAAAACAGCACAGATAATGTATAAAGCAGCTAATAAGCTACTACCATATAATATACAGAACATCTTTACGGGTCGAGAGGGGGGTTATCAATTAAGGGGGTTAAATAACTTTAAAGTCATCAGAATACGAACAAACACAAAGAGATTTTGTATTTCATTCAGTGGAGTACAAATATGGAACAGGTTGTGTGAAGAATTGAAACAATGTCTAAATATAAAGGAGTTCAAAGTAAAATATAAAGAGCATGTTTTGAATAGATACAGGGATGAATCTGGGGTACAAAAAGACACTAGGTGATACACGGTGCAATTATTGTTACTGTTCATTTAAGTTAATATTTTTTTAATTAACTGTAATTATATATATATGTATGTATATGTGTGTATGTATGGATACATGTATGTATGCATGTATGTATATACATGTATGTGTATATATATTAGTATATTTTGCTTCAATATTCAATATATTGAATTGACATAGGGAAGAGGGGTAGGATTAAATAAGCTTGGCTTCTTCCTACTCCTTTTGAACGTGAATAAGTTTTCTTTATTTTCTTTGTTTTGTTCTTACTGTTTTTTTTCTTTCTTATACATTTATTCGATGTTCAAATAAACACAATAAATAAAAAAAAAAAAAATAATACTTAACTTGTGCACACTGGAGACTTTTGCAAAGAAATAAATCTGAATCTGGTCTTTTTATAACACTGAAAGTATCTGGTCTGTCCAATGTAACTGTTGTGTCCACATCAAATAAATAAGTAAAAAAGTAAAAAGCAGATGAAATTGGCTGCTCCACTGCCTCTAGCTTTACCTGGATCATGTGGATGAAATCAAACTTCTTCATTGGCTTCACGGCTTTAGCTTTCTTTATGTAGTCCTCGCTTGGCATGATGTGCCACTGGAAGTCCACATTGTTGAGGTTGGGGGTCTTGGCTACGAGCGCTAAACAAGAGAAGAAATACAGGAATATACAATATTTATTAATTAGGTAAAATTACTGAAGTAACCAGCTTTAGAATTACCTTTGAAGTTGTTTGTGAGAGCAACGCTGCCCTCCACAACGTCTGCTGTTATTGGAAGACCGGGGACTTTGGACTGGAGCAATGTCAGCAACTGGACATCCATCTCACCTGCATCACATAAATACATACTTTTTTGACCGCAAGATTCTGCAAGATCAGGAAAACTGCAATCTGTTGTGAAAAGTATATAGTCCTCCTCGGCCCATAACCAGGTTGAGGTTAATAACAATCGCAACTAATTGAGTTTTTGAAAATTACAGTTGATTACTGGGGTATTTATGAACAGACGTCAACACATGAATGTGCCGAGATGTGATTTAACGTCTTTTAAGTTTGTTCAAGAAGATAATATCTATTAGGTGGTTCTCTGATGGACAAATATCACATCAACATTTAGTGAGAAAAGAAGAGTTAAAAAGGTTCTCTCCCTCAAAACTGAAAATATCTATGTTCAAACAACTAAACTTCTAGAATAAGTGACTATAACCAGGAAAGCAAAGGTGCCTTCAGTACATCTGGCAAAATCCTCTTGGAAAACTCTGGCATCTTATTCAGGGCATACTGTTGGTCAAAAACAAGTGTCCCTGTGATAAAAATACAGAATAAACCAAGGGAAAAAGGATCACGTCTCACATACCTCCACCGCTCCCAACACCAAGCACGTCCAGGCTGCTTTTACCGGCTCCAATTCTGAAAATACAATGCACCATGTATTAGTTAGATATAGACACTATATATATATCCCCCATAGAGAAACTCAGACTCCTGGGTATTTGTATGACTGCACCACTTCAATGTCCTGTCCATTTAGTGCAGGGATGTCAAAGCGGTCCTCAAAGGGCTGGTGTGGCTGCAGGTTTTAGTTACCAGACTCCACCCATTTCCTCAAATCTAAAGGTGAAAACTGATCTCACCTGAGGCCGGTGTGGCTGCAGGAAAAACCGGCAGTCACACCGGCCCTTTCTGGAACCGGTTTGACACCCCTGATTTAGTGTGACCTGTTAAGAAAAATAGAATGACAAGACATTCATTTGAATCTTGTGTATTAATGCAAATATATCAATTGCATTTAATTTCTATTGACAATATCAATATTTCAGGTGTGAGAGATGCATGAATGTTGAACAAAAGACACATGTAAATCGTTCCAAAAGTGTCATCAATTCAAACAATAAGATGTATTGTAGCTTTGAACAATTTTCTAATGGTAGATTATATAGACACATTAAACAAAAACGATGCCCGAAAGTTTGTGACCCACTTTAGGACCCTGACCCACGGGTTGATAACCACTGGACCATGTGTTTGTTTAGTTTTTAACGTTTGTTTTCCTATGCAGTCGTTGAACATGCAGCAGCTCCTCCTCTCTCCCCGGTGTGTGTGTGTGGTGCTGGCTTCCCTTTACGCAGCGCTGAAGTAAAACAGTGAAATGCTTTGTGTGTGTCGCAGATTCCCAGTGAGAGTTTTTACCTCTGGAACTCTGCAGGCAGGAGGCTCCGGGCGCACTGCAGCATGGCCTGGTGCTCCCCGGAGTGCTCCAAGTAAAACTGGAAGCTGGAAACGCAGCAGTCCTTGTAGCAGGTCTCTATCTCGGCCATGTCTGTCTGCGGAAACACACAACAATACTTCAAACTGGACTTCTAACTATAGACTTTGTCAGGATGAATCAGACAGAGACGGATCGTGGTGCGCCAAACTCTGGAAGTTTATTTAAGTTTCTCTCAAGTTCCACTGGTTTACTTTGTTTCTTTCTCTCAGACAGAATGAAGGCAGTACACAGTTTATATAGTCATTGTCACGTCACACATCGAAAGACATACGTGTCACAAAGAGACAGTCACATCATAGTCATAACATGGAGTCCTTGTAGAGTCCTGCACGTAGGCCATATTGCTATCTAATACTAACACCCTCCCCTTTGATCACATAATCACATGTGATCACTCAATTTGATCAATCAATAAAGTGGAAAAAAAAAAAAAAAATCCAAAACAAACTTTAAAAAATTATTAAAAACAAAGAAAATATATGCATTAAACTCATAATCATCAAATCAATATCAGTGGATTTTATCCTCTATCCTGGGAAAAAAACAAACAAACAAAAATAAAGTAAATAAACAAACAAAAGACAAATCAAAAATAAAAACAAACAAACACTATTGGACACACAAGAACTCAGCAGATTCAGTCAAAACACAGACAAAAACGAGCTGAGTCTCAAATTAGAAGCTAATTTCACTTTTATTACTCTATACTTTTATTCTAATGCTGATTGTTTACACTTCACTTCACTGTATTGTTTTCACTTTTCAATCTTAGACTGTGTACTTTACTTTCATGATTCACTATAGTTTAAAACTATTCTAATCTATTTACAAATATGTTTGCACATTTACTTCTATCGAGCCATATTCTTAAACATATATTTTAATCTCTCTGTGGTTTACTTTCATTATCAGTGGGATTTTGCTCTATGTCTATTCTCATTCTCAGGAATAAAACTGTGAACACAGTAAGACAAATGGTTAATATGAACATTATTATGGCGGTCAGTTTTCCAAATACATTTGTTGAACCAGGAAGTGCTGTCACTTCCTCCTCTCAGGCAGTTTGGGATGAATGTACATCATTAATCAAATTAGTATTATCCTTACAAGAGCTAATCTATTTGAGCAGGTTTGGGGTTGGGGTCAGTTATTCCACAATGGTGTTTGATTCTCTAATCTGTGCTGGCGAATCGAGAGCTTTTAACTTCTCAAAGATGCTTTTGAATCTCTGTTGGTTGTAATCTATCTCATTAATCTAAGCTACATTAGTCTAGGCATTAATCTAGGCTACACTCATGAACTTTTTGCATTGTCAACATTCACAAATGTTTGAACAGAAGTGAATTTGGCAAGTATCTAATAAAACTGTACATAAAACTGTAATTAACTTTATCTACTTTTGAAGTAAAAGCTTGTGAAATGGTCCCTTTACCATTTGATATTAGCACTGGCTACAAATAATCTCTATTTTATGGTTGATGCATTTATCTATTTCTATATTTTTACTCTACTGTGACTCTAAAGTTTGGCTGCAGTTTGAGTCAAGGCATATTTCTAGTTTGTGACTTCTGTCACTTTTAATTGCTGTAACATTATTCTGATTCTAATATTTTAGCTGATCTATCAAAAGGATAACATTTTGAAGTTATGATTTTAACTCTTACGTGGAAATGTGTTTATGAACAACAAAGGAAATAAAATTCTACTCTTTTACTACTATTTAACATCTAATAAAACGCTACAATACTCATACTTTATCATTTTCAAACATTTTAACAGTTGCTCAGTCTCCCAGACAAAAAAGTCAAAGTTTTTGTCTGTCAGATGTCTGAATACTTAACATGTATATTGCATTTGGTCACAGGTTCTGGTTGTAGCAAGAGCATCGGCAATAGACGTTTTTCATTGGCTGGTTCTTGTTCTGCAAATGTCTGTGTCCAATAGATCATCAGATGTCCAGAAGCTAGGCACAAACAAAAACAAAAGAAAGAATCATGAGTATCTCTCTCATTTAGCACTCATCAATGTATGATTTTAAAAATATAAACATCACTCCCCAGTTTTTCTCTCTCAGATCCTCAGATCCTCAGGGTCCTCAGGTCCTCAGGTCCTCAGGTCCTCAGGTCCTCAGGTCCCCAGGTCCTCAGGTTCCCCTGAGGGTGAGTCTCAGTCGTCATCAGGTCAGGTCATATTTCGAGAGATGTCATCTTGGACATCAGTAGGGTCCAAGCCATGGTTCTGGTCTCTCCAGATGCACATCGGATCTCCAGATACAGTCTTTTCACTTGAAGCACATCAGGTCATTTGCGATGCACTTCTGGTCAATGGTGCAGTGTCACAGTTCCTGTACACAGCTTGTTATGCAGTAGTTACTCTCTATGGTTAGTCACTTTGATTCTAATCCTAATCAATGTAATTACTTCACACAGTACAAAATCAAAACATAAAAAGTGTCAGGACAGAGGTCAATTATGTCCATGACAATATAGAATTCAAATGAACATTTCTGGTCTCAAAAATACTAATTCAACTAAAGATTCAAGTGATAGACAATTAAAAATATTTGTTTACATTGGAGTAAACTTTTAAAATGCTTTTTTCTCATGTTCTGCTTTTTCATGTATCTATATGTAAATGTGAATGTGTGAGTGTATGAATGTGTGTGTGTGTGTGTGTGTAGGGTGTGAATTTTGGGGTTGTGTCTCCAGACTCCTCGAACCACCTGTAGGTCTCAAAGGTCACACTGTGGTGATGTAACCACGTGGACACACTTTCAACTCTCCTCTAGGTCTCTACCTGAGGCCTCCACCCATCACTGCCTCCAGAAACCTCCACTTTCATGGCCCCGGTCTCTCTCACACCCGCTCAGCTCTGGAGTGGCGTGGGGAGGGGCAAGGAGGTGGCATTTTCCTTTGCTCTTTGATCTGTGACCTGTGGCTGGGTGGGCTTTGCTGTCCAGTGTCCACTCCTGCTGTCCAGTGACCCTGTACAGTGTGTGCCCTTGGTCCTGGAACTCAACCTTATAGTCAAATTAAAAACAACAGATATGTGAATGAGATTGTTTTTCTCTCTAAAGTCAAAACAATTTTGGAGCGCTCTGGGTTTTTCAACATGCGCTATGTAAATAAAGATTACTTATTATCTTACTAATGTGAAACTTTTTAAAACCAGAAACTCTTAATATAAAAAACAAGACTCAAATCTCAAAAATCTTCAAACTTTAAAATATGTATTATGTACTTTTGTACTGTGTTTAATTATCTTGAACATCCTTGGGTTTCACTTTATGGACTTTCCCTTTTACACTTGAACATTTATCTCATCATTTATTCTACTAATTTAAAATAATTGTAGCATTTTTCAAATTAAGTCAATATGAATTGGAGCACATTTTAGAGCCAGGCTCCTGTGCTGCTGAGCAAGGTCAGGTGCATAGTCAAAACAAAATAGTCACCGCTTGCAATGGGTGAATTGTGTGAATTGGGTAGAGTTTAACTTAATAATATAATACTTTTACAGCTAATCCTAATTCCCTCTTTCTTTTTAGACGAAGTCTATAATCAATAATCACTTTTAACACAGATTCTAATTTAAATGTTTGAAAAACGGCTTTTGTAACTAAAATAAAAAATACATGAAAAAATTCTCACAAACAGCTATGAAACATATCAGAGAGACAATAATGGACTCAAAAATAAGCAGCAGATTTAAAAATAAAAGCAAAGCTTTAGCACTAATATTTGGGTTTCAAAAACATATAATATTCAAAACTTATTCACTAATGGTGTTTAAAAACGTTTAACTGTGTCATAACACAATGTTCAAATGGCAAATTTCGCAAATTTAAAAACTTAATAAAAGCCAAAATCCTAAAGCAGTAGCTCTGATTCAGAGCCAGAGTAGCAAAGGAGGGGGCCGTTTCCCCTGACAACGGCAGCAAGATAGAGCTGCACACACAGGCAGAAAGTAGTGTTTTAGCAAAAATGCAAAAACAGAAAGAAGAATAACTTTCAAGATTACTTTTTTAAGCAAATATAACTTGTAGTTTATACTTTTGTCATCCAAGTCTAGAAGTGATCACTTTCCACACTTGTAACAAAAGGCACTCTTACTCTTTAATTTCCCTTACGCTTCTATTTTATTGAGGTAGCAAACTAGTTTAAACTCAAAATCTCTTTCTAAAAAACAAAAACAACTGTTGGATACAACCCTCTCATAGCTTAACTGTAGATAAAACTCGGCAAAAAATGTAAATAACTCACAAAAGCTCTCATAGCTCCACTTTAGATAAAACTCTGCATTCCCCGGTGAACTCTGTTCACTCCAAAAACAAAAACTCCTTTTTTCTGTATGTAATTTAAACCGTGATCACTGAAATATTGTTGCTTCTTTACTTTTGTCATTTATCAAGCTTGGAATTGGTTAATTACAAAACTTTTTGTGACAAAAGGCCTCCTTAACACGTTTCCCTTTTTATTGCTTTTAATTTTACACCATGGTTTCACTAAGGATCCTATACACTTTATGGCCTACACTTATGGATCCTATACACTTTATGGCCTACACTTATGGATCCTATACACTTTATGGCCTTTTCACTTTATGGATCCTATACACTTTATGGCCTACACTTATGGATCCTATACACTTTATGGATCCTCACTTATTTGAACACAATTTAGAGAGTTCGACAGACCTCAAAAACAGACCAAAATTTAGCTAGTATCCAATTATGCAGACTTTACATATAAAAAGGTGTCTGCTTACCTTATTCTTGTCAAACAGGTGCATGCACGGACTGTCCGAGAGGTCTGCCAACTCTTTTCCGCGTCGGAATATTCAATTTAAAAAACAAAAGTGACAGAAGCGACAAGAAGCATCCAGGAACAGCTCTTCCAGCCTGCTGGAATCTCCGCTCCCAGACACAGCATGCCGATCTCTCACGCAGAGGAAAAGAAACAGAGCAAACTCCCTCAAAACAATCCAGAGAATGGTGCACACTGAGCCGCGCATTCTCCACCAAATCTGTCAGGATGAAGCAGACAGAGACGGATCGTGGTGTGCCAAACTCTGGAAGTTTATTTAAGTTTCTCTCAAGTTCCACTGGTTTACTTTGTTTCTTTCTCTCAGACAGAATAAAGGCAGTACACAGTTTATATAGTCATTGTCACGTCACACATCGAAAGACATACGTGTCACAAAGAGACAGTCACATCATAGTCATAACATGGAGTCCTTGTACAGTCCTGCACGTAGGCCATATTGCTATCTAATACTAACACCTTCTGACCGTAGACTTCTGACCGTAGACTTCTGACCGTAGACTTCTGACGGAACTCTTCCCTCTCCGCGGTCCTGCGCCTGAGTGCGAACCAATGACCGAGGCTGGTCCAGGACGTGCGCTCTGGATCTGTGCCAAACGTCGCCCCTCCCTTTGGACCAGGACTGAGTTACATAATAATGAACTTCTGTCAGCTCCACCGCAGCTGCGAGGGAGAAACACACGTATCACTGGCCTGCACCGCTCCAAATATCACAAACTATGCGCCACAAGTGGGTGGAGGAGTCAGAAGTTCAGAGCATGACTTCTGAACAGTGTTGGCTGGACAAAGTACCGTACAGTAAACTGCAAATACGACAAAAGAGGAGATATGTCCACAGTAAAGCATCCCATTGCTTTTTTCACAATCGTGTTTGCTTTTGAGTGAATGATTATTATACAAACACACACGCACACACACACACACGCATACACACGTGCTCATGAGTGTGTCAAGTTGAGTAAGTTCTGCAGTTTCAGTTTTCTATGACAGTGGATTAGGATGATGCCTACTGTAGTGGACATTAGATACAATCCTAATGGTCTTTTTTGCAGTGGTTAAAAGCTGAAGGATGGTTCCTAGACTTATTTACACTGTTATTTGAACGTAGCATTTTGAATGAATGATAGAATACGAAAAAAGTCTGTTCATCATTCTAACACATTTAGAAACTTTTGTTGCCAGCTATTTTATGTGGCGTTTAAAAAAAAAAAAAAAAGTTCTAATTTTGCAGTTGAAAACAGGGAACTGGTCAAGATAAGTTTGGATGAATCATTATCCGGACTTATCGACGATCAGGATTCATTTGACTTTTACGACTGCAAAAAAGCATAATTTTGGTCTTTTTTAATGTGTTGATGTTTTATTATATCAAACCAAGTTTTTAGGGTCAGGGTTAGTCAAACTATATTCAACTAAAGGAGCTTCTTCACGTCGTCTCCTGCACATTATGAACACCATGGGTCCCAGAATTGACCCTTGTTGTACCCCACATTGTAAAAGCCTACGACTTTATATTTTTTCATTTTTATCAAACAGAACTTTATGCTTTTCAATAAACCCAGTCTATTGTCAAATAATGATTGTTCCAGTACTTTTGATTTTTGGGGAAACTGTGGCAAAAGGGAGACTGTTTTTCTCCTGTTTTTGAACTTAGTATAACTTTTGCCATTGTCATTGGAAGGAAAGTTGCCAAGTTGAAATGATAAATTGCAAATTTATTCGATGAATTTCATACTTTTAATCACTACATTATCAACAGTTCTCATATCTTCCTTCTCATCAGTGCAGGTGTGAGGACTACTAGCGCTGCTCCGATCAACAATTTTGACCGACAGTGTCTTTAAAAAATATTGTTTTGTTATCTGTTAAAAAAACAAAACAACAACACTTCATAGACTCTAACCTATTGCTAAAGTGTTTAGTTTTTAGTTTAAAAAGTGAAAATGTGATCATTGTTCCCATCATCAATCATGGCTTTTGTTAGTCATGATCATGATCAGAGGCCAGTTCATCACAGACACTCTACATATGATGATAACAATAACTACATAATAAAAGAGTGACAGTGATGAAGAAGAATCTCTGCTGGAGTAGAACCCTTTAGTGCATCATCCCACATTTCCTCTCGATGGCGCCGGAACTCCACAAACCTGAGAACCTTTTTTAATGAATACAATTCAAAACTGTACAGTTTGTATAAAGTTTTCATGGATGCAAACGAGACAAAAAACATTAGATACTTGAGTCAGTTTTGTAAAAACAAAACATTATGATATAAAAGAGAAAATAAAGTGGATATAAAGTGTGCCTTACAATATTCAGGTATTGATGAGTGACAATTATTTATCAATTGTTTTTGTGTTGTATTTCTGTAATAAATCCCCCTAAACTGAAGCCAAGCCTGCGACTGCACATTTTCTAATAAAGCTAACTTTCTTTACTAGCTACTCAGGTTAAAGACTTAAACCAAGGTATTATGAAAACATTAAACTGAATGACTGAATATCAATCATGTTGCTTGTTTTTACATCCATATGGTTGCCATTGTATTGCTCCTGTATCTTCCTGTACCTGTGTCTGTTTACAGTCTAGGTCTGTACCTGTGTCTGTTTACAGTCTAGGTCTGTACCTGTGTCTGTTTACAGTCTAGGTCTGTACCTGTGTCTGTTTACAGTCTAGGTCTGTACCTGTGTCTGTTTACAGTCTAGGTCTGTACCTGTGTCTGTTTAGTCTAGGTCTGTACCTGTGTCTGTTTACAGTCTAGGTCTGTACCTGTGTCTGTTTACAGTCTAGGTCTGTACCTGTGTCTGTTTAGTCTAGGTCTGTACCTGTGTCTGTTTACAGTCTAGGTCTGTACCTGTGTCTGTTTACAGTCTAGGTCTGTACCTGTGTCTGTTTACAGTCTAGGTCTGTACCTGTGTCTGTTTACAGTCTAGGTCTGTACCTGTGTCTGTTTACAGTCTAGGTCTGTACCTGTGTCTGTTTAGTCTAGGTCTGTACCTGTGTCTGTTTACAGTCTAGGTCTGTACCTGTGTCTGTTTACAGTCTATGGTCTGTACCTGTGTCTGTTTACAGCCTATGGTCTGTACCTGTGTCTGTTTAGTCTAGGTCTGTACCTGTGTCTGTTTACAGTCTAGGTCTGTACCTGTGTCTGTTTACAGTCTAGGTCTGTACCTGTGTCTGTTTACAGTCTAGGTCTGTACCTGTGTCTGTTTACAGTCTAGGTCTGTACCTGTGTCTGTTTACAGTCTAGGTCTGTACCTGTGTCTGTTTAGTCTAGGTCTGTACCTGTGTCTGTTTACAGTCTAGGTCTGTACCTGTGTCTGTTTACAGTCTATGGTCTGTACCTGTGTATGTTTACAGTCTAGGTCTGTACCTGTGTCTGTTTAGTCTAGGTCTGTACCTGTGTCTGTTTACAGTCTAGGTCTGTACCTGTGTCTGTTTACAGTCTAGGTCTGTACCTGTGTCTGTTTACAGTCTAGGTCTGTACCTGTGTCTGTTTAGTCTAGGTCTGTACCTGTGTCTGTTTACAGTCTAGGTCTGTACCTGTGTCTGTTTACAGTCTAGGTCTGTACCTGTGTCTGTTTATAGTCTATGGTCTGTACCTGTGTCTGTTTACAGTCTAGGTCTGTACCTGTGTCTGTTTACAGTCTAGGTCTGTACCTGTGTCTGTTTACAGTCTAGGTCTGTACCTGTGTCTGTTTACAGTCTAGGTCTGTACCTGTGTCTGTTTACAGTCTAGGTCTGTACCTGTGTCTGTTTACAGTCTAGGTCTGTACCTGTGTCTGTTTACAGCCTATGGTCTGTACCTGTGTCTGTTTACAGCCTATGGTCTGTACCTGTGTCATATCTGCTTCTCATGGGCACTCATGATACACTTTACCAAACGGTTTAAAAAAAAACTTGCGCACACTCTGTATATTTACTTAATTCAGTTTATTCAGTAGTAAAGCAGTTATATGCAAACAAGACAGAGCACCAAACTATTCAATATGAATATTAAAAATCAAACATATATTTAATTATAAAAAAACAGAAATACCCAGACTAAGGCAACAGTGATGTCAGTAAGGCCTTTTTAAAGTGTCTATGACACTTTTCTCTATTGTATTTTAAACTCTAACTTCTTTTTCAAAAGAACAACAAAAACACATTTTACCTCAAGAGAACAAAAAACTTTTTGAAATAGTAAAAAATCTGATTATCAGTTTAGCAAAATATAGAATCATATTTTTACTCTGTTTGAAGATGTTTTGTAAACCGGGAACAAACTCAAAAGCTCAGAAATGTTTCATTGTAAAAATAATACAGTAGATACCTATATGTTGTAAAAAATCATTTCATGTCAATCATTTGATGTTGTAAATTGCCCCAAACTTGACGCCGTCTGTGTTTTCCCGCAGCACGACATCATCAAGAGCTCTACTTTCTGCACTACATTGCATTACAATATATTTCCCATTTTTCCTTCACAAACTCCTGATTTATTGTTGTAAAACTAGTTTTTTTTTTTTGAGAAATGTCTCATTCAATAAAAATGACTAAAATTAGAAAACCATGGACGTGTCGTATGCTGTGGGTGCACTTTAAGGCAGTGCGTCCAGGACAATGACTCCCAGGTTATTATTGAACAGAACTCGGCCCTCTCTCTCCGTGCTGCACTGGGGGTCCCGTAGCAGCCTCAGGACGCCCTGTCTGAGTTCTGATGGAGCTGTTTTACTGAAATCCAGCACCTCAGTGAGGAAGTCCAGCAGCAGCTCTCCCTCCTCGTCTCCCTCAGTGAAACACTCGGTGATGTCCATGTGCGACTGCAGCTCGTAGCTCTGGTATGAGGCTCCGCGGGCGTCCAGCAGGTGGCGTATGTCAGCAGCGGTCACACACTGACTGATCTCAGTGTTACACAACTGACTCCGGAATGTGTCCCACAGCCTCCCCCAGCCACTCTCACCTGAGAAGGGCACACAACACATACATTTACTGTGTATTTGTCTGCTTTTATTTCTTCTTTCATTGTTCATTGTTGAAAGTGCATCCTGAAAAATATTATCTTCAAATTGGAAAAACTATCTTTTGTTCACGGCTTCTTCTGCTCAAATATTTACTTACTTTATATTTTATACATTTTTGTGCCCAATTTTGAACATTTAAAATGCAGAAAGCTGAGGCTCCAAGGATGAAAAGTATGAATCACATATGATGACACAAAGAAAACAACAGTGTCCAATTCTTTTTTTAGTGGAGATTTATGGTCTCTAATGCACGAGTGTGGCTCCCTACCTGACACCAGGATTATTACAAGCTTTCCGTTCTTGTCGAGGAGGCTGTGGAAGAAGCTGATGGTGGCCCCAGGATCCTTCACATAATACAGCATCTGTGGATAGAAAAGATAAGCAGCGGATGAAGGTTCATCTCACACGGAGCGAGAGATGCTCCAAAAGCAGTCACTGACAGGAGGCACAATCAGCTGAGCTTTTTGTCAGAATGAACAAACCTGGAACATGTGGATGAAGTCTGCTTTCTTGGTGACATTTCTCTTCCTCCACTGCTCCTCAAACTCAGACGCTGTCATCTTGTTCCAGGTGAACTTGATGTAATCTAAATCCGGCTTCTGGTCGACCATCACTGTATCACAACAGAAAGACTGTCATCGCTTTTGCAACCGACATTAAAAACAGTTAAATGAAATATCATCTTAATCTTTCTAAGTTATTAAACCGTACTCTATAAAAACATATTCGGTGTTGCTCCCAAACCGGTCTGGTCCCAGTTTTGCGACGCTTTCAAAGACCAGAGTATCTCCCAACACTTTCCTGCAAAAGCCTGAACGATTAGTGCCTGCTGCATCAACAATATCTTACAATAAATAAAAACAGACAGAGAGCTTGTGATATTCAGGACATATTTTCCGGTCAGCTCTGCCATCGATAAGAAGCAGCCTTATTGTTGCTTTTTAAAATCTTTTTGTTTTATTTTAGTTGTTATTTTAGTTGTCAGTTTGTTCTTATAATAAAATGCATTAAACTGTATTCTTTTATGTATAAACAATTCTTCCAAGTAGCAAAGACAGAATGTTAGGATTAATACAGTGTCTGATTTGTTCACAGAATGGTAATATTAAAATTATATATAAATTATTATATTCCCATACATTTGTGAAACTAAAAAATTAACTCATTGACTGCCCTTGACGAATTTGCCTGAGACCGATGATTTCTGTCAAATTTCTCTCTATTCCACTGGGGATTAAACACTAGCTAGAAACAAACTTACAGTATTTTTGCTAATGAAAGTAGACAGTCCAGTCTTTCAGAATCTACAGTATTGTTTTATACATTTCACATAATAAATCATAGCACACCATTTTCTGTGGGTCTTGAAAATCAAAAAGGGCTGACAGTCAATGAGTAGACTTGTTGACTTGAGGGTGAGGGGTTTTCAGCCTCGGAGTAGACGCTGGAGTCGACCCTGCCGCTGCCGGAGCACACCGAGAGTCTGATCTTTTTAAATCATTAATATAAGATAACCTTTATTTGTCTGTCAGTGGGGAAACCTCTGTTGTTGTTGCACATAAAACAGCCAACATCATAGGATCAAGAGTACTCAGGTTATGCAGACATCAAACACAATCTATTGTTTAAGATAAGAGATAAAAAATAGATAATAAACATAAAACTAACCCTTTAGCTATTAGCGCTTGTGTCAAAGAGATAAGTCATTTATAGTGTAATAAGTGTACTGTAGTTAGCAGTATGGAGGTATACAGATAGTTCATATTGTACTTTATCAGCAGAGATTATGACCTGAATAAATAAAAGCAGAAGGTTAAACGACGAATGGTAAATTATCAGTGCAGATTATTGGCGTTAGGTCAGGCTCAGCAGTTTTTGTTGTACAGTCTGACAGCAGCAGGAAAGAAGACCTGCCACACCTCTCCTTAAACAAGTTTTGCTGAGGTTTAGTGCTTTTACCAGTTACTGTAACGCGGCTATTTGTTGCAAAGATCAGAATGAGTGAGCTGTCTATATGTGTCAAGTACATGCATTTGTACGGTTTTTCCCTGTGCTCTTAAATGCATCTGCTGGCTTCATCTTCAAATCTGGTTAGTCTGGTTTACATGCTAGTATATACAGAGTAGAAATGGATCAAGATGTTTTTTTCACATCTTAATAAGCATGCGCAGGTTTCAATGTGACGAGTTATCCTAGCAGAGGTACTTGCTGACAAACTGACAGTGACGCTTGTACCTCTGTAGTTATGGAGCTGTTGGCTGCTGGGCTCTACCACCTCGTTGTCCACCGTCACCCCAGGGTGCTTCAGACGCAACTGAGACAGCATCTCCACGTCTATGTCACCTGCAGAACACAAAAGAGGATGATGATTGGGCAGTGTAGGGAAAATGTCCGGAGTCACATCATCTGCTCTGTGATGTCTCTATGTTGGCTTTATTCTTTGTGTCATGGAACAAAAGTGCTCAGAATCTCTCCATCACAATCAATATGGATCATATGGTTTTATAATCTAAAGTGTGTTCCTTGAGATGTGGTCCGCCTTTGGAAACGAAACAATATCACCTAATTGGTAATTGTCCAATGATTTGTAAATTATCCATTATCACCTGATTGGTAGAAACAATGTGAAAGGAAAATAATGTGAGACTTGTTTGATTTTCAAGACAATTCCCTTTGATTAGAATGGCTTTGAATTGTTAATTCATTGTTTCATCCTTGTATCACGTTGAGCCGGTGGTCCCATGTGTTTGTTTTAATAAAAAAGGCTTAAAAGGTGAGGGGACGCTGCATTAGGACGCCTCAGATCTAAGTTATAAGACCCACATTTAGAGGATTGACTTTGACTGAAATGAAGATTATTAGTAGAATAAGTCTGATTCTCCAGACTTGTACTGAGAGAAGTGACCAAGCCCCGGTGATCCAAGATGGCGCCGTATTCAAATGAATGGTTTGTGCTCAGAGGCGCATTGTGCCGGCATGGGCGCCGAAAGATTAGCAGAACTCGCCTGGAACTCACAAAGATCCATGGGAACTCGCCTGTATTTGGGCACCGTCTGGTCCTCCCGGTTCTGCGCAGTGGATTATCTCCCATGATGCGTTGCGCGAAATACGCGTGTGTAGCTCTCACGCACGTGCACAGAGGGGCTCGGCCGCGCTCTGACCAATCAGAGCAGTTCATCAGAGCGGGAGTTAGAGCGGGAGCCAGACTGGCAGAGTTTGTGGCACTAATTTGTGGCACTAATTTGTGGATTTAAAGAAAACCGAAGGATTTAAGAAGAAAAAAAGTTCAGGATGACAAGGGACACTAAAATCCCCACAAAATCTGATCTTTATGAAAGCTGTAAGTTCTCTGTCAGGTTCTCTGTCAGCTGAGGTCGAGCTGTTTTAGTTTACATTGAGTTATAGGGGGAACATTTCTGGGTAGCCCACGTGAATTTAGTCTGGTTTAGTCTGCAGTACAGCGAGAATCCCCCGAGCACGTGGTCCTTCAGCTCAAAACTAGTAATACCCTGTCCAGTGATTATAATAGATCCATGGAAGTGACACAGTAAGATAAGATAAGATAAGATTTGCTTTATTTATCTCAAATAGGAGAAATTTACATGTCACATTTGGCATGGATAGAGACACTCAGATTGTGCAAAGGGAGGAAATGTGCAAACATGTTACATGCAGGATATATGTACAATAAAGTGACAATAATTATGTACAACAAAAGTGACAAGTGTCAATTGGAAACAGTGTCAATAGTAGATGTATTTCAAAAAGAAAACCTCAATTAGGCAAGCTCAAAGATCTTTACAGAATGTTTTATTTTGATATTATAAAACGAGAGCAGTGTCACACATTACTTTTTTGCTTCAGGCGTCTGCTCCAACAGACTTAAATACATGCACAGTTTTATATAAGAATACAGAACTAAAGTGAAAACAAACAGCTTACCTGCTCCACTCCCAACTCCAATGACATTTAGCTGTGACCTCCCGTTGCCAACACTGAGAGCAGACACAAATTAGCATTGAGAAACAGCAGGTCATTGTACACAAATACATGTTATAAAATCTCAAACACATCCAATATTGAAGTTCTGAGAGGTGATGGAAATATATTCATTATTTGTATATGTTGTGTGAATGTTTTAGCCATGTACATCTTGGACTGTATGTTGAATGTGTTGAAGGGCAGCACATTACCTGGCCAGTATGTCCGGCAGCTTGTTGTGGATAAAGTCTCTCATACACAGATGCTCAGAGGAGCGCTCCAAAAACAGCTTGAAGGATTTCTGGTATCTGTCGTCGTCGTTAACCAGGCACTTGAGAGTAGAAGCCATTTTCACTGCAAGAAGAACTTTAACATTTCAGTGGTAGTTAGTGTCCTCTTTCTTTGCGTTTACATTTTACTTAAATTACATACGGCCTGCCCTGATGAGTTCAGAGGACTTTTTTGATACTACTCTGTATTTTCTACTAGTACAAAAGTAAAAATAAGTATCCAGTGACTTTTGTTTAAAAATTACTTTTAAGATGGTCTACTTTCTACTCCACACTTACACCTATGTCCAGTGTTGAGAAGAATACTTTGAAAAGGTATTCTGTAGAGTATTCCGTTACTCTTCAAAATAAACCCTGTATTCTGAACACTAAGAATACATTTATTTATACCTTTAATTATATTTTTGTATTATTTAGATTTATTGTATATATATTTTTATTTCCACTGAAACCACAATCTCAATAAATGTTTAAATAAATAAAGGTTTTTTTTTTTTTTACCTTAAAATGAGTGAGAAAGTATGTATTCCTGTGATTTTCAGAAAGTAACTTATCTAAATACTATACTTTAAAGTAGTAACTGTAAGGGACTACAGTTACTCAGGTAGGATTACATGTCCTCCGTTACTCCCTAACACTGTTTTTGTCCATTAGTTTTTGTAGAAACACAATTATTTTATTTTCATCAGTCTTCCAAATTTCAATGCATTTCAACCTTTCAAAACGTTCATATATAAATACAGATGTTCAAGTGTTCCAACTCATGTTGTTGGGTTTGAAGTCTCATGGTCCTCACTGAGCAAATCAAGGCAAGGCACGTTTTTTTGTATAGCACAATTCATACACAAGGCAAGTCAAAGTGCTGAACAAAACAAGATAGCATTAAATCATAAATAATCACAGTACATTAAAAATAAAAATATAAAATCCCTCAGTTGTAATCCACACAATCTATAAACAACAGTGACTCACAGGACACGTTTTCTAATGGAGAAAGAAAGACATGTATACTCTGATTTGTTCACAGAATGTGCAAAACTCTCTATTGGGACAAGTAACGTGCATTGTGCCTCCTTTGGCTTGAAAACCGTAAAGTTAGGTCACCCAGCTTTAACCCTCATCGCCTCCAGGAAGCGTCTGTCTGCACTGCCTCTATGCGCGCTCCTGCAGACGCGCTCCTACTGCAGATGAATACAGCATAATAAGGATTGCTTGCTTTCTGCTAAGGAGAAGGAAATGAGATACTGTAACTCTGACTATTTACATCTATCCATCGTTCCAAGTGTGTAGCACTGGGCTTTATGGAAACGGTATCCACCAAGCGACCGTGAGAAAAGGCGATCCTCAGCGCGTCCTGCGCCTGGCCCTGCTCCGTCTCCATCCAGTGTCGCAGTTGTTGTTTCTGTGTCATTTTCTTACCGTGAGCGTTTCAGCTGCAGATGTGGAGAGGACTGGACTGATCCGCGCTGTCAGGCCAAAGGTGGCACAGTGGGAGTTGTCTAAACTGCCGGTGGTGTTACGCAAGAGGCTGTGGCAGAGGGAACACGGCGACGACTAGCGGCAAATGCCTGGATCTCACTTCAGAGATGACGTCACATGATATTGACCATAGACTGTATTTTATGAACAAGTCTGACCGGGTCTGGCATGGATCTATTATAATGGCTCTGGGTCAAACAAATAAATAATAACAAAGGAAAAGGGCCGCATGTGAGACTAGGCTCAGATTACACAAAGGTGGAACAAGGCTGAGTAAAGAAGAAATATTATGAATTTATTTCAAACATAACTTCATCTCTAACAGTATTTGACAGTTACTTAGTTTGATATCAGCTGAGAGCAAAATCAGGGGGGAAATAAACTTGTTATTTTTATCAATATATTGGATGTAACTCTTTATAATGTATGGGAGACTACACAGGACTTGTTTATGTGATTAGGGCTGTTGTCAGAGCAGTTTTTGGACTTGTCATTTGGACTCCAAGTAAATTGGGATGTTATTGTCAAAATAGATTGGATCTGCCTTGGTTTTGGAGTGCTATGATTGTCACGATTACACTGAGACTATGGTCATCTTGCTGTGTTTTAATAAGCTGAAAATGTGAAAACCTGTGCTACAAAAAGAAAAACCGTACAAAGTTTGTAATAGTTTTTTTCATAGATCATAAGTTAAAAGTCTGCAAACAACATATTAACTTGTACATCTATTTTGTATATATTTTATTCAGTAGTAAAGCAGTGTTGTATGTAAACAAGACAAAGTAACTTCAGTATGAATCGACAATTAGACAAATATTTAAGTATTTTTAATAAAGAAATAGCTTTCAATAATTTATATTCAAATTAAAAGGAAACAGGGATGTCAGTAATGGGGACTACAGATGAAAATAGGCTCCTTGGCTAATTCTGGCTTTTTAAACTCATGTTTAATCATGTGTTATTAAATTGCAATGTCCCCTTTGAAATAAACTAAACTGAAACATCTGATTCCTAGTTTAGAAAAATATAGAATCATATTTTTACTCCCTGTCTGAAGATATTTTATAAACTGGAAACAAACTTAAAAGATCAAAAATGTTGAATTGTAAACATGATCCACAACGTTATTTTGTAAAAATCCAGTCACAAGTGTATCCTTATATCATGACATCAATCATGATCTCTGCTCTACATTATGCACCATACAATAAATATATTTCCCATTTTTCTTTCACAAACTTCTGCTTTATTGGTGTAAAACTTACTTTCAATGTATAAATGTGTCATTCAATAGAAAACCATGGACGTGTGTCGTATGCTGTGGGTGCACTTTAAGGCAGTGTAATTCTTCCGTGAAGTTGGCCTCCATTCCCATCATACTTATTTTCCTGATGCCGGGAAACCATCAGGAAAGCCCACAGAAAAGTGGACTATCGGTGGTCAGCATTTTACTTTGGACTAGAGCAGAAAAAATGGAACGAACTAAGCTGCTACTCCACCTTGTAACCTGTCCGGCTCCACCCAGAGGCAACTCCACCTCTGCTGCTGTGACCTGAAAGACTGTTGCTTATTATGACTATAGTTAAGCTTTTTAGAATGATCAGTTTGATTTTTGCTGCTACTGAACACCTGCATTTCTCCTACAGGAGATCAATAAAGTATCTATCTATAAAATGTAATTTAATGACATAGTAACATTCCTGCTTCCAGGCGTGTTTATGTGAACAGTAGCGAGGCAAAACGAGAGGAAGGGAAGTACACAGGACTGTTGTCAGAGCAGAGTTTAAAGACTGATTATTTTGAATCTAGTTTAAGTCGTAATGTTACTGTCAAAATAGACTGGATTTACCTTGGATTGGAGCGCTATGATCATCACGACTACGCGAAATACAAAGGTCATCTTGCTGTGTTTAAACATGAAAACCTGTGACCAATATATAGAAAAATGTACTTAATTCTCAAATGTAGCTGGTGCAGTCTACATACAGGTGCACTTCATATTCCAGCAAGTAATGTATATCTGTCCATCTTACAGCTGAATGGATCGTTGGAACGTTCTCCTGTTTTGCAGATGTTTCCACGACTTTAAAATGCAATTGAATAAAAAACATAAACAACTGAAATATATGCAATGTTTTATTTCCACACCATCCGACAGTTTATTTGCATTTCCCCCGCTGCATGTACACATTTAGAAACAGTTCAAATGATCCTGTAAACAAATGAAAGTTTGATTTTGAAACCTACTCAAATTGAAAGTTTTAGTATTTGGCCATTACGAATACTTATGCCACCCATACAATCAATCTCCAAACTTAAGACAAAAAATAAACTGCAAGGTCACTTAAGGGCATGTTCTGCTAAAAACGTGCATGCGTACATACTTTTGATATGGAATGTCATTATTTGTACGAGCATTTATTCACAATACATTCAGATGCATCAGAATTATTCCATGAATCAAAAGAAAGCCTCCATGGGGAAGAAATGAACATAACATCACTGCAAAAAATGATAAAATATGAGGTAAGAATTGCTTGAATTGAGAGGTTTTTATCTTAATTTAAGTGCATTCTAACTGTCTTAAAACAATATTTGCCAATGGGATAAAGCCGATAAATGTTATTTCAAGAACTTTTGCTTTATTTTCTCACATTTCTGACCCATTGGCAGATTCTTGTTTTAAGGCTCAGTCAGAATGTGCTCAAATGAAGATACATTTTGCCAAAGTTGAGCATCTTATAACTTTTTACAGTGCACTCCTGAAAAAATAACCCCAGGATTCTTGTCTTCCCTGGATTTGAATCTATATCTCATGTTGGAGCACATGTGGCATGATCAAAGGTTGTGTTCAGGCAATAGAATATTACACACAGACACGTAAAGGAATAACTACTATGATAAATAAAAAAAGAATTTAAAGACACTTTACAAATCTAGCTTTATGCGCATTGTGATATTTGGTATTTGCTGTCATTGTGCTTTCAGCCCTCTTTGAAACAGAAAGAGGAACCAATGCTTTGAAGCAGTCGATCCGTGTCGGGACTTGGATTTAGTTAAATGATTCTCACATTATCGGCAGAACTGTTTTCTTCCTTTTGTATTGCAGAAAAATCCACAAAGACGATATTATCAATCTGAGAACGGCTGATGGACGCAACAAAACAGTCGACCAAATATTTATGATTAATAACGACATCTCTAATGGTTAGTAACAGACGAAATTCACATCAGCTGGACGATTCTTCCAGTTAATCGTTTTAAGCATAATAAAACAGTGTCTTGCTGGCATTTATGTCAACTGGCGAATGTTGCGTTGTTAAAGAAGACATATTGTGGCCTGTCCACTATTATCTATAATCTATGACCTATATACACTGGAAAATCTGCACAAAATTAGCAGCATAAAAAAACAGTAACCTGCAGTAATGAAAGCGGGGATCGTCTGCGCAATGGTCCTTGAATGCAGAAATCGAAAGAATATTCATACATCAATCACTCTAAAGTCAAAGATCAAAGATTCATAAAGCTTTCATGTCTGTAAGTAAAAACAGCAATTTTTTCAGACATTATTTAGTCAAGACAAGTCTAGCCTTTATGGATTACTGTAGCAAGAAGAAAACCATTGTTGAAAGAAAGCCAATAGGAATCCTGTTTGTCGGTTTGCCAGACGTCATAAGGTGCTGGGGGGTGCATCATGCTATGGGCCTGCATTTCTTCATTAGGGACAAGGAAAATAAATAAAAAACAATGGGAAAATGAATGGAGCGAAATACAGAGTAAAACATTCATTTAGTGCCTACATTCTAGCCTGGTCTTACCATACAATTGTGCTTATTTCATTTTGTACTGTATTTGCTCCATTGCTCCGTTATCAGGGGGAAGGGTTAACACCTTTTGCAGATTGAAACGATTGAGTCTGAGTTAACATGGTTCTGGTGGTGACGCATGTGAGTGACACGTTTAGCATTTAGCCTAGCTTTAGCCATCTCCTTTGCCACTAACAGAGCCCGTGGGGGGGAGGAGAGCCATATTTTCCAGCAATGACATTTGCTAAACATTCTACTTTCCCCGGCTTCAATTTCTTGATATTAGGAGCTGAACCAGAATGGATTGAAGAGCTTCCTTTGCTATTGCGTTCGCCGCCAAACTACAATTGGAAAATTCACCGACACCTCCCTAAAACACCCGCCTCCTGTGCTCGCTGAATGGACCGGAATTTAGGATAGCTATGACCAGGCTACATACATTAACATTCACATGATTAAAACAAATAATAAAAAAAAGTCGATAATTGTATCAAAAGCTGATTAATTAGTGGGCCTTTAAGAGTGAAAAACAATTATGATAGGCTTAAACATCTTTAAAAGTGAATTGTGCACAATATGTCTCCTTTAAGCAAACTGTGCGACTTACTTTTGGATCAGTGTTAGTCAGAGGAAAACCATAAATGCGTTGTGACGTTGTATATTAAGCTGAAGGCAATCCCATATTCAGGTCTTCAACACTTGCACAACCTATGGCATAATCAGTGTCAACACAACCTGACAGCGACAAGTTATAATAAGTTACAATTAAAACATACAAAAGTCATTGAGAGAAAAGAGGACCAGCACTAATGTAGTGCATATGGCATAATTCAAAAAGGCTGTTTGCATTCGCTCAGTACAAGGTCCAGCGCTGATGAGACAGTCTGAATCTGATCCGCTGCGGAGGTCACCCATGTCTGTATTTTCCTCACGGTCAAGTTCAAACAGTACGGATCCACGTCAACGCTTTTGACGTTTTAAATCCAAGCACTAGTGTCAATGTTGCAATCCGTCACAATAGAAAAACTACAGTTCAAAGTCTGACATTTGAGTTCTGTCAAAAGCAGCTGCAGACATAATTCTGCAAAGCGTTTCTCCATCAGCGATTCATTGTTGTTGGTTGGTTTGTATGTTGGTACAAATGGCAATGAGGCACAGCAGAACTCCTCCAGGGGGCGCTGTGGAATGTAGCAGATCGTTTGGGTATGAGGTAAGTTCACATGTCCATATCCCCGTCGTACGCCAGGCTCAGGGGTTTCTGAGGCGCCGCTGTCTTTGAGGAACTCGATGGCTGGCTGGAAGTAGCAATAAAACGCTGGTTTAGGTGAATTACAAACAATAATAAAGATGACAAACGGTGAAATAACATACCAGAGCAGGAAGGATAACGCAATAATGAAAAGTATTAGAATGAATCCGACAGCGATCACAGCGTAAACCCACATCTTCACTCTGCCATCTGCACAGAGAACAGGTTTAGAAGTGTCTGTATCATCTCACAAATAACAGGTAATAAGCATCAATCTGCTATAAAACAGACAATATTATTTTTATTTTTTTGTGGGGACAATAATTTAAGAAAAAAACCAATAATATGACTCTTTAGTGTTTTTCATGGGGAATGTCCAGGAATGTGCTGCAACACGGATCATTTCTATACTCGACATGCTTTAGCCATTCAGGATTTTTTGTAATTATTTCTGCCTATTAGCTTATAGCCAATGTATAGAGATGGACAATACAAACCTGCAAGCTCATGGACAAAGTTTTGCTCCGACTCTCTCTAGCTCCAAATGACTTACATTGAAACGTAAATTCATCTATCTAGATAGCCGTCTTTGTCACACTCAGCATTTTGACCTTAAAAATTCATTATTTTGCACTTTCTGTGATCCTGGTGGTTTCATTTTGATCTGGTCTTTCCAAATCAAGATAAGATGCCTTGATTTGCGGGAGAAACTGCAGCTTGCCTTAGTAACCATGTTAGCAACACGTTAGTTTGCTTCTGCCCTTGCTACGGCGCATAGGTCTCCGCAGTCAAATAAAATGCCCATATAAGGAAATTTCTCTATTTTCAATACGGCCTTTTCCGCATACGGCGAACACAATTGGTGATGTCAGTTCTACGTACTCTATGGCCGATGTGATAACCACAAACCACGTGACTACTTCAGCATCAAAACAAGTCATCAGAAGTTTACCTTAATATGAGAAATGTTTAAAAGTTCTTAATTTTACACAGCTCTCATGCTTGAAGCTCTCTCATTTCTGTACCTGGTCCCACCGGCCGCAGAGTCCACTGGGTGAAGACGTCCTTGGCCTGGGCCGGACCGGGTCTTGATCTGCCCGAGTTGGTCTTCACGTCGGCTTTCTTGTAGTTGTCCACCCCCGGGGTCCTGGTGCAGTAGTCCAGGAAGCCGTGTGAGCTCATGACTTCAGTGTAACCTCGGTCACACCCACACACTCCGCTCTGCGTGAGGAGAAGACGCGCACAGATGTCTCAGAGTAAGAAAAGAGGTTGATCATTGATTTCCTATTGCTGTGAAGCGGCTCCAAATGAACAGTCAGAGCAGAGAGAGCAATGCAGCGCTCCAGGCAACGCTTTGAGTCTATGACAAATTTATCTGAACCAGAAACATATTTATAGCATGGAGGAAAAGGGAAAAAAAGTCTCGCTCCAAAGTCAAATGATATTATAATGACTGTTCTTAATAGAGGCCTTATAAAACAATGCAGCATTACATGAACCCATTACAAACCAGATTTTTTTTTTTTTATGTGTGAAGAAACAACAAACTTGAAACTTTATACACAGCAAAAATGAACAAATAAGAGGTAATAAAAGCTCAAAATCATGGAGTTTTTATTTAAGTACAATCTGACTTAAAAAAGGATTGGCCAATGGGACCAAGCCATTTAGTCTTTTTTAAAGTAATGTTAATTTAGTGTAAGCTCACCGTTTTCTCATTCCAATGGACACATTTCTTGTATCTTTTTAAAACAAGATACTTTTGCGCAATATGAGCAATTTTTGACCCATTTGTCATCACGTGAGATTATAGAGATTCAGTCATGTGTATCCATTGTGAGTATAAAGTACATGTAAATGCTGTAAAATATGTAGGTGAATCTGTATGATTAAATATCAAATTCAAAATAGTGGCTGTTTTGAATTATTGACCAATGTTAGATTTGAGTTTGAGGTCTCTCAGCTGCAGTTACAGAAAATGTCCTCTAGAGGGCAGTAGTATGTTACAAACAAAGCACCTCACTCACACAGTCTCCGAACAAACCTACCTCCAGGGAAATATAATCTAAACAAGCTCCAATAAGCTTCTTTTTATGGTTTTTGGTTTACCAGAATTTCAAGAGGAGAACCAAATATATATTTTCATTATCTTTATAGTCTTGTGCTGCTGTCATTTAAACAAATCATTACTTATTCTTGTCTAGTTTTACATTACCAAAAGTATATATTTATTAAAAATTTAACAGTGTAATGAAATCCACCTTACTATCCTTAGCTCCTCGCTCTCAGAAAACTAGTTTTCACGTGTTTGTATTTTTGGGACATGTCAGATCAGAATTTTTAGACAGAAATGTGAGACAGAGAGGTGATCCTTAAACCTCTTTCTTACCATCTAAGAAAGATTGGGTCTGTGGAGGTTTGCAAAAACGCAAGATATGTAGCATTCTTCCCCTCCCAGTAATAGTAATTTTTATAATAGTAATTTTGAAATTAGCACTAAAATACATCCACCTTCTTAAAGAAAGAGCAAATAGTAAGCCTTTCACATATTTAGATAAGATAAACCTTCAGTGTCAAAATATATGTGAAAGGCTTACTATTTGCTCTTTCTTTAAGAAGGTGGATGTATTTTAGTTCTAATTTCAAAATTACTATTATAAAAATTTCTATTACTGGGAGGGGAAGAATGCTACATATCTTGCGTTTTTCTAATTTCTAATCGTTTTTGGTTACTTAACTAACTATTCGTTTACAAGACACTTTCTATTGGGACAATCAAAAGAAAGTGCCCCCTGGAGGAGTTCTGCTTTATTATCAACAACAAAAACCCGAAGTATCTTGTGACCATATGTTTTTTCTTTCAATCTTGAGCCGACACATGGTAAACATGTTCAAATAAATATAAAAATGTTTATGGAGCAACACGGTGGCTCCAACCGGTATTCCAACCCAGGGGCCTTTCTGAATGGAGTTTGCATGTTCCCTCTGTGTCTGCATAAGTTTCCTCTGGGCGCTCCGGTTTCCCCTACCACTAAAAACTTGTATTACAGGTCAAATTGTACAACTCCGGTCTTGACCAAGCTGAGCATAAAACTCAGGAGATGGGTGTGACCCCTGCCCCTGACAAAGGCCATGCTGGTATTCGAGGGGTGGGTCAAATGCAGAATTTCCTAAATTGAACGTAACTTATGCTGATTTATTTTTAATAACATAACTTGTGTTGTCTACACTGGAAACGCGTGTTTTAGTTGTAGTATCTTTCAAAGACAGAGCTCCACAAACGGGCAGACAAGCACTGGGCTTGGAATACAAAACAGAGCTGTTTGTTCACATTGCTGCTAATCTTGTAAATTTGCTCAAATCAACACAAAAATCCATTTACTTTGTCATTTGCGGTGCTCTAGTTGTAGGTCATTGCTCAGTGTTGTTTAGAAATTGTGCTTTTAGATAGCTTTAATTTTCCCATTGAGCAGGTAGCATGTGGAATACTGAAGCATGGGATGATATTTTCAAACTATTGCTTAAATGAGACTCTTGTTGTGACAATAGATTAATAGATAGATACTTTACTTATCGCCCAGGTAGAAACAAATCCATCCACAAAAACACAAAAGTACATAATTCTAAACGTTTTTAACTAAAATGCACTGATATCGGGTCGAAAGCTTAGGCTTGTACTCATACTCGTACTCATACCATAGGACCCAATGCCACGCAAACCAAAAGAGGTTTCACGTGGTGGTGCAAAACCTCTATACCCACATTTTTAATTTACATTTGCGTCATGACAGCAGGCAGCTGTGTGTTGTGCACGTGTTGCCAAGTCGGCAGCTGAGCTTAGCGGCAAGCGGACAGTATGTCGGTATGTAAGTAAACAAGTGGCAAGAGTAAAAGCGGAGAGTACAGTGTCAGCAACTTGATCAAACATCTAAAAAGTTGTATATAAGCAAAGTATTGCACCTTTGCCAGCACCGCAGCACAAAAACAACCAACTCCACAACATTTGTTTGAGTGGAATACGACAGTGGCTCTTATTGTTGACTGTTGAAGCAATCGCTAAAATGTTTAACAGTAATGAACATTTCCGAATGAACAAAGGATCTCTTAAAATGTTCCGTTCAGCAGCGCAGTGAGAGAAACCCTTGGTGGTTACCCCTGAGGGGCCAAAGTGCCCTACATCTATTTGTATTTATAGAAACAAGTTTGGAAATCCAGCTTTAGAATATAACTTCTCTTTACAAATGAAGAATTGAATTATAAAGTACACTTACCGGCGTGCAGTGAGAAAATGGTTTTGTGCAAGGCGGCTTGCAGTGTCTTATAGTGGTGGGCATCTTCTGCTGGTAACATCCCCCTTTAGACACACACACAATCATACGCACACACACACACAGACACACACAAAACAAACACATTAGACTTTTCACTTTAAACCGCTAATTACTAAATGAACACGCTGTCACGTCTGATTAATGGCCCCAGTTATAGCTATCACATTCCTTGATCAATTTTAAGACATTTTAATTCCAATATAGAAAATTGCGTGTCAAAATATCAAAGAATAATGTCTTTTGCTTCTGGCCTGTTCACAGATGGGATCGCATTGCAGCTCTCAAACTTAATATCCACCTTTCTCCAAAACTATCACGCTTGTTGTGGCTGTCTACGCGGGCTACATGTTGCGCAAATACAAATGCATGATTATATTTATATGGATTGAAAACCTCCCAGCTCAGCCTGCTATATCGATTACTTATGTTAAGAGGGAGAGGTGAAATCAATAGATCTTATGCTGCGAATGGCAAGATGAAAAAGGCAAAATTCAACAATAATGCAGCTTTAAAAAGACATTGCTGTTGTTGCCGTAGCCCTTTTTGAGTGAACACTGTAAAAAGGCTCAAACCCTAATCCAAAATAGATCTGATTATCTCTGCAGGTAAAATGTTTCTCAAAGCACCACCAAGCTGAGAAAATTGCTGACTTTTTGTTGTTGACATCTGTAAGAATAAACTCATGTTCTATTCAGTAGCGAGACTGAATTTCACATATCCAACTGGCAAAGTGAGAAAATAAAGCAGCTTTGGTGAACTGGGCAAGTGCCTGTAAAGCTGCAGTCTAAGAAAAAAATATGCAATATTTGAGAATTCACCTTCGATTCTTCCACAGTGTCACATAAAATCTATCTTACACTTTAAAATTGTGGTGGAGGGCAGCTGAAAAGTATTTCTTGGTAACTATGAGTGTCAAAAGTCAAACTTAATCTTAATCAATCTTAGTTTCAACATCAATGCATGAATCCAAAATGTCACTAAGTCTCAAATCAAAGTCAGCAAAAAAAACTATGGAGTAATTCTTATTATATCATGAAGGCGTCTAGAAGTGGTGACTTAGATTGATTTTATTTTATAAATTGATTTATTGATTCTCAAGGGAATTCCGTTGTCACAGTAGCTCGCAAAGTATTTCACAATAAAAATAAATAAATAAATAAATTTAAGTAAAAACCAGAAAAAAGTATGATAATGATAAGATAATATTGTAAGAAAAACTAAACATCAGTTAAAATACTATACATAGAAGACAAAGCAGATAGTAGCAAGTAGCAAGGACTTTCAAACCTTACAATAAAATGCGAGTTTGTGAAGCTAATCTCAATCAAATGCTCAAAAAAACATTAAGTATTTCGGTAAAATGTCTTGTAAAAAATGCTTTGTTCCCCTAGAGTTGTATTGGCACCTGTCCTCAACTGAAACAGAATTCTAAAACATGAACATTGCATTAGTTTTAAGATCATTTAGACTGTACCATATTCAAGATCAAGGCTCCTGTGGACTCAGCACCAGCAGCAGGATCAGTGAGGGGCTGGTGCTAAGTGTACTGGGTGCAGGTCTGACTGCCACTCCCCCCCGACCCCCCCCCCCCCCCACCACCGACCCAGAAATGGGTTAAGGAAAAGAAAATGGATGATGGATGTACTCTATTTACCCACCAATGATAAGTTAAGATATGTACTAGACATATACATATTCACCCATCTGTAGTGTTTTGTCAGTAATAATTTTTGGATTACACATTGTTCAGATTGGAGAATTAATTATTTAGATTGTTCGGCACAATTTACAAATGAGTAATACGTCCTATACCTCATGTACCTGAACCCAGCGCTTACTTGAGCAGAGGTTCTCAACTGAACCTGGGTCAAGAGTGAATCCATCAACTTTTAATGACAAGCATAAAAATATGAAAAAATATCTCAAACAAACTCTGGAATCGATCAAGGAATTTACTAATCATCACCAACTACTGAGTAACTAATTTCTATAACTCCCCCAATGGGACAAGTTTTACATTCTACTTGTAGTAAATTGAGGTTCAGAGGTTTTAGTTATCAGAGGATTTAGATTGGTTATTTTTAATGTAGGTATAAACTTGCATTTTGGAAACATTTCTGATATTACTAACATACCAACAACTTCTAGTCAATACTTTTTTGACTTTACAAGGACTATATGTACTCCACACACACACACACACACACACACACACACACACACACACACACACACACACACACACACACACACACACACACACACACACACACACACACACACACACACACACACACACACACACACACACACACATACCCGTTTGAGACGTTGTAAGGACATTTTTTCTAAAATCCCTTTAAACCAGACTGTACATAGGTATACGGGGACACTGGGTTCCCGTGGTGCTAGAGCCTCAAAAATCATATCAATGATCATGAAAAAAATCACAGAACCTATACACGGCTTAAAATTTAAAGATTTCCTTTGCTGCACTGAGATATAAAAAATGACTGTTTTCAAGACTTTTCAGGGGTTTGTAAAGACTTTTCAAAAACACGGTCTATAAGGACAGTGTGGTTTACAAGGTCAGTGATGTCATCATACACACACACACTATGTATAACCTGGTTTGAAAGGACACATGGTCTGTGAGGCCTGGTCCGCACACACATACACTGTGTATAACCTGGTTTGAAAAGACACATGGTCTGTGAGGCCTGGTCCGCACACACATACACTGTGGAAAACCTGTTCTGAAAGGACACATGGTGTGTAAGGACAGGTCAACACACACATACACTGTGTATAACCTGGTTTGAAAGGACACATGGTCTGTGAGGCCTGGTCCGCACACACATACACTGTGGAAAACCTGTTCTGAAAGGACACATGGTGTGTAAGGCCAGGTCAACACACACATACACTGTGTATAACCTGGTTTGAAAGGACACATGGTCTGTGAGGCCTGGTCCGCACACACATACACTGTGGATAACCTGTTCTGAAAGGACACATGGATAATGAGGCCAAAGAGACTGAGGCACATCATTATAATAATCAATAATCTATGGAGGATTGCTTTTTTAAGAGTTTGAATTGTCTCTGCAAACACGTGTAGAGCTTATTCTTCAGTCTACTGCCAAACTTTGTCATGTATTCCCTTGATACCTTCACTGAATTCCAGTTATTCCTAGTTTCAACTGGCTTCACCGTCTCTATCCTGCACTTAAATAGATGGTACATCTATAATCACTCCATTCTAAAAGAAAATGAGATCAAGCAACAAAAGGTTTACAGACATAACTGCCTCTTACCAATAGAGACGTGTCAATCACACACAAACTATATCTGTATCCACCAGAACTCAACTGCCAATCTGCAAGCATGCATCACATCTAGGGGTGGGCGATATGGACAAAAATAAATATCTTGATACTTTATACCCAACTCCCGATAACGACATTGTCACGATATCTTTAAAATCAAAAATGGTTACACAAAATTATCTGCAATGTTTTGCTTGCCATGGCATCTATAGATAAGAGACAGTGTAGATCAAAAATGAAGCTTTTTATTTTCTGAAGTGCTACACACATCTTTGCAAAACATGCACTAACATATATTAACATTAAAAATCAGATTCAAGAAACACAGAAAAAACACATCCAAAAAGGCTCAATATTTACTTAAATGTACAAATAAAGCAGTGATTGGCTTTTTAGGCACACATTAGACCAATGGGCATCTTTCCTTCTCTAATTGTAATATGTATTGGAAAATAAAAAAGATAAAGCATATCTTCAAATTGGCTTTCACGATATTATTGTCTACGATATATTTTGCCCACTCCTAATCACTTCCCCACCAGGTGTGTCACTGGTCTAAGGCGTGTCCAGGTGTGTCACTGGTCTAAGGCGTGTCCAGGTGTGTCACTGGTCTAAGGCGTGTCCAGGTGTGTCACTGGTCTAAGGCGTGTCCAGGTGTGACACTGGTCTAAGGCGTGTCCAGGTGTGTCACTGGTCTAAGGCGTGTCCAGGTGTGTCACTGGTCTAAGGCGTGTCCAGGTGTGTCACTGGTCTAAGGCGTGTCCAGGTGTGACACTGGTCTAAGGTGTGTCACTGGTCCATGGCGTGTCACTGGTCCATGAAGTGTCCATGGCGTGTCACTGGTCCATGGCGTGTCCAGACGTGTCATTGGTCCATGGCGTGTCACTGGTCCATGGCGTGTCCGGGCTTGTCATTGGTCCGTGGCGTGTCACTGGTCCATGACGTGTCACTGGTCCATGGCGTGTCCAGGCTGCTCACACCCAAACACGTCATGGCCCATGACACGCCTAGACACGCCATGGACCAGTGACACGCCATGGACCAGTGACACGCCGTGGACACGTCACGGAGCAGTGACACGCCTGGACACGCCATGGACACGTCATGGACCAGTGACACGCCTGGACATGCCATGGACCAGTGACACGCCCAGACACGTCACGGACCTGTGACACGCCCGGACACGCCATGGACCAGTGACACGCCTGGACACGTCATGGACCAGTGACCGCCTGGACACGCCATGGACCAGTGACACGCCTGGACACGCCATGGACCAGTGACACGCCTGGACACGCCATGGACCAGTGACACGCCCGGACACGTCATGGACCAGTGACACGCCCGTACACGTCATGGACCAGTGACACGCCCGGACACGTCATGGACCAGTGACACGGCGTGGCGTGTCCAGGCGTGTCACTGGTCCTTGGTGTTTCCAGGCGTGTCACTGGTCCATGGCGTGTCCAGGCATGTCACTGGTCCATGACATGTCCATGGCGTGTCACTGGTCCATGACGTGTCCAGGCGTGTCACTGGTCCTTGGCGTGTCACTGGTCCATGGCGTGTCTAGGTGTGTCACTGGTCCATGGCGTGTCCAGGCGTCTCACTGGTCCATGACGTGTCCGGGCTGCTCACACCTGGACACGCCGTGGACACGTCATGGACCAGTGA